AGACATACTCACCCTTGAAGGCATTACGGAGGGCGAGGAGGTCCCACTTATCCCTTATGCCGATTCTTTATGTGTGAACTGGAGAGGGATAAGGATGATAAATGGCCAGAAGCGAAGAATAGGGGCAAGTGGGGCCTCAACATCGAGGCCAACCTCCCTTCTCCCTCCCAATAAGGTATTTTTTGTCTTTTTTTCTTACAAGGGCGGCGGGCTTCAAATATCATCATTGAACTGACCGGGTTCAGGTAATTTCGAATTGTTTTATGCTGTTCATCTGATTGCATCTGGATTCAAACTTGGGGGGTCTGTATTTCAACAGTTCATGGGTGTACCAGCTGGGCTAAGGCCGCTAGGCCTGTTGGTCAAATAACGGTTTTGCGGGCTGGTTACTCTCCAAATACATCTGCAGCGCACTCTCGAAGGCGCTGTAATGAAAAATCTCAGTTTTTTCCTTTTACCCATTCAGAAACGGAGAGTAGAGTGGTGCTCCGACTCCTCTTGAAAAATGAGTTTCCAGAGGAGTGTAGAGAGGCTCTGTTCTTCGCATGGAGAGGATGGCTTTTGGTGGCCAATCGCAGCTGGGGTGCCTGTTCGCAGCTTGGGCTGATGGTGGTTGTAGTGTCGAGTGCTTGCCTCAGTACCAGTACTACCATCTGTGACAGTCTTAAAAAATGTACGTACGTGCGTATGGTGACAACTCACTTGCCCACACAAGTGTACCTCCTTATGGCCACAGTCCAGACGCACACAAAGGCACTTGGCTGGGTACAGACACACACAGCGAAAACGGACTCAGACTTCAGGAATCCAGCAAGCACACAGAACGGCCACAAAAGACTCAGAAAAGCACAAGTTTCACAGTCTGCAATTTTGTAGGTTATTGCAAAAAAAAAAAAAAAAAAGTTTGGGGGGGTGGGGAGCAAACAGGATTAGATCGATCCGGATTCTCATTTGAAACAATACCAATAGTAGCATTGCCAACCGAACGCTGGCCACCCCCCGCTTCCCCCCTTCCCCCGTGATGTGTGTGTGTGTGTGTGTGAGATTGATTGATTGATTGATTGATTGATTGGTTGGTTGATTTATTGATTGATTGATTGATTGATTGATTGACTGACTGACTGATAGATTGATTGATTGATTGATCACTTGATAGATCAATCTGGTAGAAAACGAAGAAAAATGAAAAAATGCGCGTTGCTATTTGCGTGCACAAATAGCAATGTGCAGGGTGTGTATGAGGGGGTAGACCCGCCCCCCCGGCCGCGCCCCCCCCCCCCCCCCCCCCCCCCCCCCCCCCCCCCCCCCCCCCCCCCCCCCCCCCTCCCCCTTAACGTTTGGCCCAGTAGCCCTGCTACCGGGCTATGTTTCAGCTTGCCTTGAAAAAAAGTTTTTCAGTCCCAAACTGTTTTTTGGAGGGGCTATGAGTTGCAAACTATTGACACCTGCGATGTGACCCCTTTTCTCTTTTTTGGGGGGCGGATGGAGTTCCCCGTACTCCACGTGGGTCTGGTGCACTCGTGCGCCAGACATGCCAGACTGCGTGCATGACGTGCGCTTGCAAGTGTGATTTGAACTCGTAATCTGTTTGCAAACAGATTCATGTCTGTCCCATTCAGCCCCCCACTTGGGCTGTGGTTCCATGACAGTTTCACTTTTTCAGAAGTTTTCTCTTTTCTTTTGTTTCCTCCTCTTTTCCACAGATGCGTGGGCAATTTCTTGATTACTGTACGTGCCCTCGCCGTGCAAATCATCTGTGTGCATTGTGAACAACGTCGCTGTTCTTTTTCTTTGCCTCTCTTTTTCACAGAAATGCACTGACTTGCTGTTTTCTGGTTGCCTGTAGCCTCTCTCTGTCGAGGCTGTACTATAGGTAGGACAGGTTCACAATTTTGTTTGGCTGAGGGCCAACCGAGAGACCTACCTAGGGAAATTCGTGAGGGACATATCTGCAAATTCGGGAAACATGCAGGCCCGGTACTAACAGAATTCCCTACAGTCTACCCTAACTGCGAATAGCAGGCCCGGGCTACCCCTAGGACGAGAGGCCGAAACAGAAACGGTACCGGTCGGTCAGTCAGTCCGGTCTAGGTCGAGTCTAGGCTAGTGTAGTCTATAGATAGGATGGGCACATCGGTTCAGGGCTTTTGGCAGTTGGTACCGAGTACATCGCTGCTGCGCTACGCGTGAACCAGAAGTGGTGACGGCTCAGCGTGGAAGGAGACAGGCATAGCCAGACCTTCAGAGCGCCGGCCATAGCTGGGACCTGCGCTGTACTCTGCCAGCACACAGGGGCTGACAGAGGTCTGGGCTATCGAGGTCTGCTGGAGGCGAGAGAGTTTGGTGCCCTGCTGGACCCTCCTCCGGTTCCAGGGTGGTGGTGCTGCAGCCATAGCTGCAGCTTCTTCCTCAGAGGTCATCTTGCCAGGGTTTGGTGGCGCTGCTGCAGACTTCCACCCGGGAAGTCTTTCGACACTTCGTCATCATCAGATACTGTGGCGCTGGTCTTCTTCTTTATCCTCTGAGTGGCGCTTGGCCTCAGAGGCCTGTTTCAGGGTGGCGCTTCCTTCAGGAGGCTGTATCAGGGTGGCGCTTGATGTTTCAGAGGCTCAGGGGTGTCACGGGTGGTTACTCAGGGTTGGGGAGTGAAGCGCTGCTCATTTCTGAGCAGCCCACTGTAGTTCTGAAGTTATCCTGACAATTCGAGACTCTGAGTTTAATAAACAGTGTGATACTGTGTTTGGGCTATCATTGTTTCATTGTTTCCTGGATGTGATCTGCTCGGCTTTTCTCTATGACTGGTGAGGATTGAGTGGAGTGAATTGCACTTACAGTGTACCCTGTCATATCGCATGCTCAAGTCTTCCGCTGTGTTCTCTCTCCCTGTGCGGTGTGATACTCCTATCCTCTCCCCTTCCTTCTGTGTATGTATGGGCATACATCGGAGTCTTATGTGAGTGAGTGTTGGTCATCAGACAACGAACAACCAGAATCATAACAGAAAGCTGGGCATTGTGTGATTTCTGTATGGCATATCCTTGGGCAGGGATGGGCATGTTAATCTTCTGTGAACCTCTTTCCTTTCTTTTGTTTTCTTAATTTGTGCCATTTCTTGACTTATGCATGTCATCCTTGCACAGGAGACATGCTAATCTTCTCTGTATCGTTCCGATTTTAACGGATGTTCCGAAGGACACCCTTTTCTTTTTTCCGTGCTTCTCCTTTTCACAGAAATTTGGACCATTCCTCGATTTCTGTACCGCACACCATGCCAATCTGTCTACCCTACATGTGTTTTGAACTATTTCCCCTTTTGTTGTTCAGATCAGATATTGCACTGGGGTTGCAAAAAAATCTATGTACTGCACTGGGGTCGCGAAAATTGCACCGGGGTTGGAAGAAATTCTAAAATTCTATGTGCTGCACTGGGGTTGTGAGAAATTCTATGTACCGAACCTCAAAGAATTAAACCACCATTACATCCAAGCCTCTTTCTCGCAAGGCGAACGTGAGCTGCGCTCCAAAAGGGAAAAAAAACGCACTGGCATGTCACAATTTGTATTTGTTATGACTGTGGCCGCCAACCAGAGTCTGAGTAGACTGAGCCCCCAAGGACGAGGTGAATATACCACCATGTTGGAACAAAATTAGCTGGGAGACAGTGGTGGCTTACACATGGAATCTCTGGCGAACCTTGCCATTAGAGCCAAATATGTGCTTGACGCGGACATTGCAAAATGCATTTGATTGAATCATTCCTTTCTGCCTCTTGGAAAAGCTGGACACATATCCTGTGATGAGGAGATTAAGGCCTGATTGGGAGTAGACATTATGACTGGTTTTGCCAACTGCCCTATGACTATATTTCGCAAAGTGCACTGTTCATGGATATGTGACAGTCTACAGCTCTGGTGAGCCTTAAGTTATATCCGCCTTTACTGGCCGACATTGCTTTACGCGAACGGACAATGCTTTGAAACGAGTGGGCTGTGCAACAGGCAGCCGAAGGTGGAATTATCCTAGTAAGATACGCTGCTGGTTTCGTTGTTCTTCGCAAGGCTCAAAGAGTTGTTCAGCGCACTCGGGGGTGCCTATCACAATTGTTCCCACCCTTTTTTTTTCCTCTTTTTTTTTTTGGGGGGGGGGGGGGGGGGGGGGGTTTGGGGACTCCAATCCTGATAAAACTTGCGTAGTCACTATGGGAGATGGATTCTGTTTTTTGACTTAGCGGATGACGTTCTCCAGCTGGCAAAGGCTCCTTGAACGCCCTTTTGACTCAGCTGTTAGGTAGATGATGATTTTGTGGTGTGATCTTGATAGTATTCCATGCTGTCAGGTCTGCGTCCTTGAATGGATGGACTGCGGCTAATTAGTCTGTTGTTGTTGTTGTTGTTGTTGTTGTTGTTGGTGTCGTTGTTGCCGTTGTTGTTGGTGGTGTTGCTGTTGCGTCTCTTGTTATATTAATTTTTTTGCTTATGCTTAGTTAAATCCTTGGGTTCCTCATTAGGATGCGCGTTACATGTTAAATCACCACTGGTCTTGGTGCAACCCATAAGTCGGACTGGGGTCCCTGCCAGCAGTGGGGTAGGTCAGCTAATTAGGGCGTGAAGTTACACTCGCGCGGACGTTTTGGTGGTTCTTCGTGCTCAGGATATTTGAGCAAGTGCTCTGGAAAAAAAATCAGGGATGTCAAATGAGTGCTGCTCTTTTTGAAAAAATAGTTGGAAAACCCCCAACAAAAAACACATCTGGATTACAAAAACAAGTAGTCGCGGCAAAAGCACCCAACAATTTTGCTCCTGCTGCCAACGGTACACCCGAAACTCTTTGGTCAGTGCTCCGCGGTTGGAAAAACAGGCCGGTCCCCCAACTTTGCTTCTGGAGTAATGGGGGTCTGAGCGGCTGTGTTGTGCAACTGTATTTCAGCCCACTCATACGGCACTTCAGCTAACCCTTTTTCTGTTTGCTTGTGTGTGCACGTGTGTGGAGAATACTTTCAGGCAGACCATTTTGCTCCGTATGCAGCAGAGCCTGAAATTCAAATGGAACAGAAGAATTGGTGGCTTAGGGCACAACGAGATGTCAACAGGACCCCAATTGTGATGAAATACCCGACGTACTCAGCTCTCACCCGACTCAGCTTAGGATCGTTCTGCGGGGAACCAAGGCTCGCCAGCTGGTTCTACTGCCGAATGGCATGTGGCAAGTTCAATCAGTCCATCTGTGACAACGCGAGGATGATAGAGAACTCGCATAAGACTCCGCCAGAAGCCAAGGGGCTCTTAATCTCAAAGCCGGTTGACTCACTGCAACTGTGGGATGTTACCATGATGAATTTTCTCTTCATGGCCTTCTTGCTGTTCCTGAAATACATCCAGGTATGGGGCCCCTTCATTTGTTCTGCACCGGTTAACTTCTCCTCCTGTTCCCTCCAAATAATACATGCCGGCAGTGTTACCCAGCCGAACATTCGGGGCCCTTTTTTTCTTTGATTTTTTTTTTTGTAGATACTACACTACCTAAAGCACCTACCTGAAATTTTCGTTGGATTCTGTTGAACAAAGAAAAAACAAACTAAAAACTGAAGAAGATA